ACAAGCCATGCAATCACAGGGGGGCCCTCTGGGCATCACCTGCTCCATCCAGCTTTCTGCTGGAGGCTTATTTGTAAGGACAGCACCACTATCCAGCTCCAGCCCGGCCCCAGGCTCCCAGCAACTCTGGCACCTGTGCTCTGCTGCCTGATTCTGGCTGCAGCGTTCCCATGCCGATCCACCTCTATGCGCTGCCCCTCACCAGCTTGGAGGATGCTCTGCAACTGGGCAGGAAAGGGGCCAGTTGGCAGCCAGAGAGCACAAGGGCCAGCTGGACCAGCTGGACCTGGGTGGTGAGGCTACCTTTACAGCGGAGCCCCCAGCAGGGATCAGGAAGGAACAGCTGACACCTGACCGGCCAGACAGAAGGCCCTCGCTGGCAGCTCCAGCCCCTATGCTTCCCTGCCAGGAGGCCTATTTACCTGCCCTGTGCCGGGCCCAGGGGAGTGGGTGGGTGCTCAGAGACAGATCAACACAGGGACATTGCAGTCCAGAACCAGGCAGGGGAGTGCAGGGGCTGGAGCTGCTGGGAGCCCAGGGTTGACCCACAGGCAGAACCACAGCTGTGTAGTGGAGCCAGGCATAGGCAGAGGGAAGCAGAGTTGAGATGGGAGCAGTCTCCCCCTGCTTCCCTGGGCATCTCACAGCTCACCCACAGCCCCCATCTTCCCCCCAGTACTAAACAGAGGCCCCAGAAATGAGCTCTGGACAAACCCCAGCACTGACCCAAATCCCTAGGAGAGTCTGACTTGGGAAGAGCATGGAGCAGTGTGGTCACAAAGGATCACACTTGGTACCAGAGACAAATATTTATATAACCAATACATTGGAGTACACATTTACTACCCTTCACCTTCAAACTACACAAATACAGCAGCCTTGCAAACCCCCATTCTGAGTCTCGTGAACTCGGTCAACTCATATATTCTTTTTCAAAGTAGATACAAAGGATACACTGAGGGCAAGTCTACACTACAGTGCTACATGGCGCAGCTGCACCAATGCAACTGTGCTTCTGTAGCACGTCTAGCGAAGATGCGATGGGAGAACAGTCTCCTGTCAGCATAATTACCTTGTCGAGAAGTGGAAGCTATGTTGGCGGGAGAGTGTCTCCTGCCGACATAGCACCTGTGTGGACAGCACGAAACTTGCATCACTCAGGGGGCGGGGGACTCTTTCACACCTCTGAGCGACCTAAGTTAGATCAGTGTAGGCTGTAGTGTAGACCTGCCCTGAGAGGAACATGGAGAGTTGACAGTGGTACGGCCGCAGAGTTAAGATGGTTTAAGAAATATTAACTGTGAATTTTTGGATTTCTAAAGATAGTTTTTGAACAAACTATATTCAATTAAGGGTCTTCTCCTGAAGTAACAAAATGTTTTGACTCAAAAGGTGACCCGCAAAGTGGGGGAAAATGGATTTCTTGCTACTTTATGCTATACACAGAAGACCTACAAGGGATTTTTTTTTTAAATCAAAAAAGGATTTTGGGGTTTTTTTTGGTGGAGAGTGGGGAGAGAGGGATTGTTTGTTCTTAAACACATTCAGAATTCAAGTCTTTTCTACACCACCACATTCTACAGTGTCTGGAGCACTTGAGAAAGTAGAATATTAGAGGCAAGAGACTGAAAAAGAGAGCAACTGAAGAGATTTTTTATTCAGATTAGCCAAAGCTCTTTGACCAAGATTTTCAAAACTGACCAGTGATCTTGACTGCCAAACTTGAGTTATCTTAAGAAGGACTGATTTCCAAAAGGTACTGAGCACCTTCCCTCTCAAAATCAGGCCTCTATAAGGTATATCTAGTTGGGAACTTAAAAATCACAAGTAATCACCTGTTGAACTCCAGCAACTGAAGAACTCTTGGTTGAAATAAGATCATTGTTAAAGGTTCAAAACTGCCATAAATTCAATTAAGATGTAACAGCTCACAATAAGCATCTCTGAGATTGTCCAGAGATCCTTGATCAAAATTAAGGAAGACTAAACTTGACATTTCTGATATTTCTGTAAGGTTAACAAAACAAAAAACAAAAAACCCTTTCAGGCCTCTTACTACAGCATAAAGAAGCCAAAAAAACCCTACAATTTAAAAGATTCCTTTGCAGGTCACCTTTTACTCAATATTAATGAAGTTTTTTTCTTGTAGTTTACTATCAATTTAATTTACTATATTAACATTGCTACAAATACATTATAATTATTTTACAATAGCATTTTTGCAGAAACAATAGGATTATTTGTGCTACTAGGGTTTCCAACAGTCTCTTATTACAAGGGACGTCCCTGACTTCCTCATCTCTGTACAACAAGATCAGGAGTTGCTGAGTGCTGCAAAAAGCAGCAAGAAATACTCCTGGCGAATGAAGGTGAGTAGTGCTTGTTATCATTTTGCTATTATTTATTTATTTATTTATTTATTGAGGATGATAATAATTAATAATAATAATATCAAAAGGAGGCGTGGGGCTGGGGTGCTAAGGAAACAGTCCCTTATTTTTGAAATAAAATGTTGGTAACCCTACAGAAGTCAATAGGTCCGATAGTCATTTACATTAAGGCCCCCCTACAGCAATGAAAATCAGACCCAGGTGGACTACTCACATGAACAAAAATCAGCAAATACATCAGTCTTTGCAGGAAAAGTATCTTACACATGTAGCATCGAATTCACCATAGGTAAAGTATCACAATATTTATTATAGGCCCCTGCAATATGTACTGTAGTGCACACTCGCTATTGCTATCGTTTATATAGCAGTTTTTACCATCATTGTGGTTTCTGACTTCACTGGGAATTGAGGGCACTCAGCAATTTACCAGGCAAATACAGCCCCTTAAAGTAGTGGTTCTCAACTGGGGGTATGTGTTCCTCTGGGGGTACGCAGAGGTCTTCCAGGGGTTACATCAGCTCATCTAGATATTTGCCTAGTTTTAAACAGGCTATGTAAAAAGCACTAGCAGAGTCAGTACAAACTAAAATTTCATACAAACAATGACTTTTTTGCACTGCTCTGTATACTGAAATGTCACTATAGTATTTATATTCCAATTGATGTATCTTATAATTATATGGTAAAAAAGAGAAAGTCCGCAATTTTTCAGTAAAAGTGTGCTGTAATACATTTGTATTTTTAGGTCTGATTTTGTAAGCAACTAGTTTTTAAGTGAGGTGAAACTTGGGGTATGCAAGACAAATCAAACTCCTGAAAGGGGTACAGAAGTTTGAAAAGGTTGAGAGCCACTGTCTTATAGGATCAGTCCCCTAAATAATGATACTACATATGTTGTTTGACACAGGTTGTTCACACTACAGATCCATTACACAATATAAAACGCCCACCTGTCAAATTACTGTGAATGGTGCCATACCAGTCATCTGTTTGGAAGATAAGAAAATATGCTGTATATATAAATTAAGTCATTAAAAATTGCACCCTTGAATTCCTTTTTCAGATAAAAAAAAAGTGTGAGGATACTGGTTTATCACTTTAACTATGTGTTGCTTTGAACATACCAGTGCTTTAAAGTAAACAGCAATGCCAGTTTGTTATGACTACTAAAAGCAAAACATCTCTCCAAACTAATCTATATGTTGGTGGGAATAGCCTTTGATTCAGTATTGTAATTAGCTATGGATACTGAAGAAAAAAAATACTAGAAGAACATCAGCCATTTCAAATGAAGTTAACAGTCTGGTTAATCAACCCCCAAGGCTGTCAGCCAATACATTCAGTGGTTTTGTTCAGATCACTAAGGGGTTTTTTCTTCTTTAAGTGCCACAAATTCCATCAGCCAACCAAATTTCACAAGATTAAAAAAAGGAGCAAGGACTCCAGCTCCTGCAGTTTTTGGTGGCTGATGTGGAAAGATAGGTGTTGTTTTACTAACAATGGAAGAGCTTTGCTTTCCCATAGCCAAGTTCTTTAGTACTAAAAGGGAAGATCCTTAATAAGGGCCATATTCCGCCGGGCTTTTATGTGGGTGCACAGTAGAAGTGGGGAGGGTGCAAGGAAATTTTCTGCTCTTGCAAGCCTCACAGCAAGATCAGGCAGGACATGTAGTGATCATCTTGTACCTGTTGACCTGGATGCACAAGGGGAGGTGGGCCAAAGTTCTGAATGACACAAGAGGTAGCAAAAAGCTGTAAGGTCTATTCTTTATTGGCTTAGCTTTCAGAGGCACTTACCCCTCACTGCTCGCACTGAAATTAATGAGGGCTGCAGGTGCTCAGACCATAAATGTCCACAGTTGAATCACTTTCCCTGTTTCCTCAAAAGTGCCTTCAGGTCAGCATTTTATTTTTCTAGTATATAGCAGGGAGTTTGGAGATTGCCCTGCTGCTCTGTAATTTGTGTCACGGGAGGACTGATGCTTTGCTGTGAGATTTTTGGATCAGAAGCACTGTGTAATGTGCTTTGGAAACAATTAATTAAGCCTCTTAACATCCCTATGAGGTAAGCAAGTGCCGCTGAATCCCTTTCATCCTTTTGATAAATTGAGGGATGTAGACAATAAGTGATTTGCTCAAGTTCACACAGAAAGTCTGTGGAAGAGGAAAAAACAGAATCCAGGTATCCAGACTCTGAATCGCCTGTTCTAAACACTGGACCTCACTACAGACAACACAGCCAGCTTAATCCTCAGGAGGTTAAAAAAGCAAGTTGCCTATGAAAGGCCATGTGAGTGCTTTAATATTATACCATTGGAACAAAATATATGAAGGAACTGTGATATCATCATACTATAAAAGCCATTCATCTCTAGAGTCACTGTGGAGAGTATCAACATCATGTCACAACACAAAGCATTGTTTTATGCTGGTGGGTGTAACCAAATTGGAGATACTGAATCTAAGGATTGCCTTTTAAAATAAAGTGCTTCTGCATGGATCCAGAACATGTATTTAGCAGGCAATAGAGATCATGTGACATCACTAGACTACAAAATGTTCTTTAGATTTTAGTTTATGAATTGTGAAGAGAAGGAATTTGGGTTACCGGTGAATAGCAGAAGACTCTGCCAGGCTCCTTAGATGACTGGGGAGATTTCAGATGGAAGCTCAAAAAGACGGAAAGATCTTCTTCTTTCTACAGTGCTAACTACTCCTGATGAGGATTAGAGGCAATTAGGCGAAGTTGTGCATGCTTCAAAATCAAAGTTTTCATCCTCTGGACTTCACAGCTGTTATGCATCCTGATGTCTGTAAAACATAAAAGTAAAGCAACAGAGATTTTTTTCTCGCCCGTTATTATTAGACACAGAAAGATTTTACCTATGACAAATTCAGCTATTTTGAATTTGTTAAACAATATCAAGAAGCAGCTGTATGCTTCTGGGAATATGCCCATTTTCAAAAGACTGATACTAAATGCATGTCCTTTTCAGTGTCTCTGATCGGGAGCCCACTTCCAGCATGGCGAGGAAGGATAAAATGGAATTATGCCAAATGTACCAACATAAAACCTCTGAATTCATAGCAGACAATTAAAATGAATGGGGAAAGGGACCATTTCCATCTTAAATGGCAGCAAAGGAAAAGCTTGAAGAAACAAAACCCACCACCTTGTACACCAAAGATCTTTCAATCACAAGTCAGTGCACAGCCTGCATAATATCTAGGGACGTGTGACCAAACAAAAATATGCCTTGTAAATGGTGTTTTGAAAAGTTGATAAGTTCTTGGCTCCATTCCAAGTCTGTTTTTGACAGTCATTCATTTAGGATTAAAATGAAAGTTGTAACGCCTTCAGTCATAAAACACTTTCGACCTAAAATACACATTATTCGATACCAACATTTTAAATTACATTATTTACCAGGGATGGTTGTGTTTATAAGTCCATTACAGCTCTGAAGATTCTGCAGGAGGTTTTGATTCAATTTTCGTACATTTTAATTTTTGACATTGACATGTGAAGAGGTTGAGATTGAGAAGCATGAGTATATAGCCCTCCCTGCCTTCAAAATGCATAAAAGCATGAAAAGTAAGTCAATGTAAGAACAACAAAATCATTATCTGTGTGCATGTTAAGAATGAAGCCAAAATTATGGGATTTAGGAAGCCATAGGCTCATGGTAAATGTACTTTTTGTTGGTTATAGTGGCATTTAAACAAAAGTTTCAGAAAAAATTCACAGGTATTGGCTAAATTATTACACTATTTCTAGAAGAAATACTGCTAGAAGAATTACCAATTCAGGTCAAAAACTAGTGGGAGACGAACCAAACTGATTTCTGACATTTGGATCAAATAAATCATGAGAAGTACGGCTGCTTATCCAACCCCTGAAGTCTCTCTCCTCCTCTTTTCTTTCACAGTCTTTGTCTCTCAATCTTCCACCTCATTCATACATCCCTTTGCCCTCCCAGTACCTTTCTTTCTTTCTTTCTTTCTGAAACACGCACCAGAAATTCCACAACCCCCTTTTCTCTTGACCATTGTCAAGGTTCCTTCCCCACTCTGAACTCTAGGGTACACATGTGGGGACCTGCATGAAAGACCCCCTAAGCTTATTTTTACCAGCCTAGGTTAAAAACTTCCCCAAGGTACAAACTTTGCCTTGTCCTTGAACAGTATGCTGCCACCACCAAGCGGTTTAAACAAAGAACAGGGAAAGAGACCACTTGGAGATGTCTTTCCCCAAAATATCCCCTCAAGCCCTACACCCCCTTTCCTGGGGAAGGCTTGATAAAAATCCTCACCAATTTGTACAGGTGAACACAGACCCAAACCCTTGGATCTTAAGAACAATGAAAAAGCAATCAGGTTCTTAAAAGAAGAATTTTAATTAAAGAAAAGGTAAAAGAATCACCTCTGTAAAATCAGAATGGTAAATACCTTACAGGGTAATCAGATTCAAAACACAGAGAATCCCTGTAGGCAAAACCTTAAGTTACAAAAAAACACAAAAGCAGGAATATACATTCCATTTAGCACAGCTTATTTTACCAGCCATTAAACAAAAGGAAATCTAACGCATTTCTAGCTAGATTACTTACTAACTAACAGAAGTTCTGAGACTGCATTCCTGATCTGTTCCCAGCAAAAGCATCACACAGACAGCCAGATCCTTTGTTTCCCCACCTCCAAGTTTGAAAGTATCTTGTCTCCTCATTGGTCATTTTGGTCAGGTGCCAGCGAGGTTATCTTAGCTTCTTAACCCTTTACAGGTGAAAGCGTTTTGCCTCTGGTCAGGAGGGATTTTATAGCACTGTATAGGGAAAGGTGGTTACCCTTCCCTTTATTTTTATGACAACCATAAATAGGTGTCACATATTGGGTCTTTGGAAAAGGGAAGTGGCACTGCATTCAGGAGAGTGGGGCCCCTCTAAGCTCTTGAACCTTGTCTATGCTGGTCTGAATTCTAGTTTAACATGCATTAGAGTTTCTACAACCAGAGATGCTCAATTAACCCAGCCCCAGCCTTTGGAGATGCTCTAGAATCAAAGAAGGATCCAGGCAACAAAAATTCAGAGCCACCTCTGAATCTGAACATTCTCAAATGTTTAAGTTGCTTGGATCTGGAGTTTTGTTTCAGGCTGGAATTCTACCTGGAATTCACATGATTTGAGGATAGAATTGACAACAGATATCTATCATAATGATTCATTTGCAGCTGGTATTTCTTAATGTGGAAGAGTAGCGATTTTCTCCTACCAAACCAATTATCTGATTTGCAGGATAGATGGTTCAGCAGATAATAATGAGCTGTTGCGGAATCCTTTCATCTCTTCACATTTAGTCCATGTTGGTTGTAACTGAGGTCCTGTTTTCAAAATTGGGCACCAAATAATCAGCACCTAAATCCATAAGCCACTTTAAATGTTTCACACACTGAGGCTGATTTAAGCATCTGGATACTGGAGTTGGTCAAAAAGGTCTCACTGGAACAGTTTTCTGTCCAAAAATACAGTTTCATTCAAATTTAAATGTTTCATGGGAAGGTGTCAATTTAGACAAAATTTTAGACAGGAAAGTATCAAAATGAATCATTTCAACTTTCTCATTTTGTTCTGATAAGGTGAGATTTCATTTCTACTTTATCATTTTGTCTTAAATTATATTAAATATAATATTAAATTTAATAGTTCGATCATTTGTGTATTGTATTTGATAATATATTTTGACATCAAAAACAAAACAATATAATGGTTTCAGAATTTCCATTCTGCATGAAATTTGACTTTTCATTCAGATTAAATACAAAAACAAATTTCACGTCATAATTTCCCACAGAATGGAAATTCTATTTTTTGACCAGCTGTACTAAATACCTACTTAGAAGTGTAATTGAGCAGATTTAATTTGATGCAAAAATACCTAACAGTACTTTTAGGTCTCATTTGGGGAAGAGCTCAGCGTACATTAGCTCCATTGAGAATAAGGGGAGATGTTGGGTACTGATCTCTGGCCATCTCATTTGAGCCAAACATAAGCTCAGCTTTTTCTGAAAATCTGGTCCCAGTTGAGAGTGATGATGTCTTTGGAAAATCTGTCTCATTAGGAACAGAGTTTTGAATCTGGTACCTGTTTAGTGACTTACATAACATGAGGAGGTCTTCTCAGTCCAGTTCCTAATGGAAAGTTATCCCTACCATAGAATCAAAATTAGCATTCTTGTTAGGTAATCTCATCATGGAACCCCAGGGATGAAAAAGACATGAAAATTGACCTATCCTCCTATTATCCTTAGGCCTTGTCTACACAGCTAGACTGACTAGCATGACTATAGTAGAATAAACTCACACAGTGCAGTAAATATTCTAGAATAAAATCATTTTTACTCCAGAATAAAAAGGATCCACACTGGAAACTATTCTAGAATAGCTACAGTGAAATAGCTTATTCTGCTATAGCTGTGCTGGTCAATTTCCCAGTGTACACGAGGCCTTACAGGTGTCCCTTCTAGCCAAGTGGAGGTAGAGCAGTGCACTGCCAATAGCAATGGTGTACCTAACCCTGCTGTCAGGCCAGCTCCTTGCGCCAGCATAAAATTCACTTAAACTAAAAAGAAAAAAAATGCTTGTCACCTTCCATACTTGTCTAATGCACTGTCATTGACTAGGCAAGTGCCTGCAATGAAGGACAGTATGGAGATGTTAAGACTATTCAGTGACCCAAGACCTCGTATTTGCTGTGGAAGATGTTCACTGGGTTAAAATTTGCTCCTGATCTGATGTAGCACAACTTAATCATCACCTCTCAGTAATTTGATTGATGAAACAGATTCCAAATGCCTTTGAAAATATTATTTTAATGCACAAGATAAAAAATGAGCTTTTAAAGCAGATTTAAGTGGAGCTGGGCTTCAGGATAAATAAATATATTTCCTCACCATTTGCAAGAATTCACAGGAGTCTGGCCCATTTCCTTCAGAAGTCATCAGGGTGCAATAAACGGAAACCATACACAGTGTGTCATTGTGATTCTAATTCCATTAACAACTTTATTTCAACAGAATCTCTGGCCCTCCATATACTAGCTTTTAGATTCTGGGTTTTTCTGCCTGGCATTATTATTAAATATGTGCTTTTATAACAGTTCAGAATTATAGCATTCAAAGGGGGAAAAACTTCAGTGGAAGGAGTTGTAATCAGCAACATTCCAGAAAAAAGGGAGAAGGCAGGAGTATTTTAATAGCTTTTTCATATTGGTACTTGCTGTATCTTCAGAACAAACATATATGGAAATTTAATCAAGACTTTTTCAGACTTCCTGCTTCCTTTGCAACATTCTCTCCTTTTTAGGCCTGGGTACTGGAGAATACATTTAGCTCCCTGTTAATTTCCCATCTTAGATCACGCTATCCAAAGGGCATTTGAAGGACAATTGTGCCAGTTTAGCTCAGCCCAGCAGGACAAAATTGTATGGAGTAAGCAGCTCAGTGAAAAAACTGTGACAGGTATTGTTACACTTTTAATTATAGCCGGCATTTCTGAGTTTAGAGCTGGAGGCACCAACTGAAGGCAACTGTGCCATCTTGGTGAAAAGTGATGTTATTTATGACGTTACCATGAAAGGCTAATACAAATGGAAGTCTGTGACTATAATTAAAAGTTGCTGTGTTTGATGCCAGCTTTTCCTTCTACCTATCTTAGTGTCTGGCTACCTATCCCAGGCCCACCTAAAACTGATGTTAGAGCGTTGTTCCATTTGTGCAGACAGGACCAACCATGTTCACCCTCTGTTGTATTGTATAATAGTGTTGCCGACCTCTCTTAGAACTAGGGTTTGACCATGCTCGCTTACAATCAGATTTGAACTCACCTGGCCCTTTCTCCAAGTGCAACAATCATTTTCAACAGTGACTGGAGCCATGAGGCAACTGTCCCTGACAATGAGTGTCAAAAAGGGTACTGTTTCCTAGTGCAGTCATGGCCAAAGAGACAATAAACTAGTGTCAACTTTGATTTAATAATGGTTATGAATCATAAACTGAGTGCTAATATTTAAACAAAAGTGTTAGCTTCTTCCCTCTGTATATCAGCTTGGAATCTAGTTGACACACACTTCTGCAAATAATGTCACCAGCTATTCAGATATGACTGGATATAAATAGCTATGATGACTGGGTAGTTTAGACAGATTAGATAAACTTTCAGAAAAATCGCTACTTCACCTAGACTCAATCATTGTTGTTCTTCGTATTATAGCAGCGCCTACAGGCGTCAACCAAGATCAGGGCTTCATTGTACTAGGGGCTTTACCCATCATGTTAAGAGACAGTTTCTGCTCCAAAGAATTTACAATATAAATAAACAAGACAGACAGAGTGGAAAGACAGACTAACAGAAAAGAAGTACAACTATCACTATCAGTTTACTGGCGTGGAACTGAGGCACAAAGCAATTGAGTCACATAGGAAGCAGGGGTGCCAGAACGAGGGTGGGGAGAGAGGAAAGGGGCAAGGGGCACTTTTGAAAGTGGACAGGCCTGACCCATCCGCTTTTCGCCACAGACCCAGCACCCTGCCCCTCCTCTTCAGCCCCCAAAGCCACACCCCACCCGGCTAGGCTGGAAGCTGGAGCCTGGCCCAAGTAAGAGCTGCCCGGAGACCCCTGGAAGCTGTGGGGAGCCATGGACCCCCTACTTGGCCCCGGGTGGAGGAGCCTGAGAGCAGCCCCTGGCTCATATCCTCGCCTCCTGGGTGCCCCATCCCAGGGCAGGTGGAAGGTCTGCAGCTCCCCAATGTTGCCTGTGTGGCTCTTACCATTGCCCAGCTGCAGGTCTTTGGCCCCCAAGGCCCCACCCTCAGGCCAGGCCGGAAGCCAGAGCAGGGTCAGGGTAATAGACACATGGGCAACTGTGGGGAGCTGTGGACCCTCCACCTGCCCCTGGCAGGGAGTCGGGGGGGCAGGGACAATGGCTAGGGGCTGCTCCTGGCCTCCCCTACCCTAGACAGGTGGAGGGTCCCAGGGTTCCCGGCCCAGCTCTGGCTTTTGGCTTGGCCGGGGGCAGGGCCTTGGGGGGGAAGAGGGCAGGCAGGGGCAGGGCCATGAAGGAGCAGGGCCTTATGGCCTCCCTACTTTTAGGAAGAATCCATCGCCCCATAGGAAGTCTGTGACAGAGCAGAGACTTGTACCCAGACCTGGAATCTCTTCTGCCTTAAGCACAAAAAACTCAGTCCTCTTAATAATGCCAATTAATTACATGTTTAATGCATTATACATTTTACTCCTGCTGAGAAGTGCTTATTATGTTGTGAACTTCCATATTTCTGGCCTAAATAATATGGAGTAGAACAATATGCCTTTAAAAATGTAGCCTAACCCTGAAAAATAGACCTTTAAAATTAACCCCAGTCCTAGTTTTTATTTATCCTCATTCACGGCTCAGTCCTACAAGATCCTGAGCATCTCTTGAGGGTTCAGAGCACCTCCCATGACCAGACCTTCCTTGCAGTGTGGGTGGCTGGGTTTGCAGAATTAAAGGATTCAGATCATCCCAAAGTCCCTGTTCTAGGCAGTGTGCATAAGGGTGAGAGGAAGACATGTTTTGTAATTCATATAATAAATTATGTTCAACCTAAAAAGCATATCTTGCTTAAGTGTTCATGCTGCCGAATGACATTAGTACAGGCACATTTTCAAAAAATAAATCTCTAGGTCACAAATCTAGCCAAGGATGGCATCAATGTTTTAATTTTACTTGCTGTTTTAAGCTGCAAAGACACTGACAGTTTGTCCATAACAGAAGCCAAAAGAATAGAAACTTTTTACACTATGTTCATAGGATGGGTGCAGCTACATTATCAGCATAAAAAGAAAAAGGCAAATTAGGCCATAGCAGGCAAACACATTTTTTAACATTATAATCACAATGAGCTAAATTGTCACAAGTGGCTGGGCAGTGAGGTTAGCCTGTGCACTTAATTAATTATGATGATAGATTCTGGGCACAAAGCATACAAGATATTTTTGAACAACTAGACACACGTTCAAGTTGAGAGAAACTTGGTACAAACACACTCATTAATTTACCAGGTTCACATGTGCATTTTTAGTGCCCTTTTCCAAAAGAAACAAACTGTGCAAACTCTCAGCAGTTCTAAGCACAATCCATATTTGCTGCTCATACGGCATATATTCTACCCCAGTGGTTTTCAACATTTTTCATTTGCGGACCCCTAAAAAATTTCAAATGGAGGCGTGGACCCCTTTGGAAATCTTAGACATAGTCTGTGGACTCCCAGGGGTCCATGGACCACAGATTGAAAACCACTGTTCTATGGTAATGACAACCTTTCGCGGACCCCCTAGACATAGTCTATGGCCCATAGGCCCACTGTTCTACCCAGTTGGTCATATGTGTCCAATGTCAAAAAATGACATATCTCGGAGAATGTCAACACACACAAGGAATTAATTGCCACCTAGAGAACTCTGCTATTGCCATTATGCGCACACCACTGCCACTTGGTACATCAGGGCAGCAGTAAGACAGAACTCAGATCTTTATCCTGCAAAATCATAGGACCCTCTCACTGGAGCTAGAGAATAATGCTGGGTTGCTCTCTGCAGCATATTCTCCATTGTTTTTGTTCAACAATAACCCCCAGGATTAAAGTGAACCACCAAGGAAATGAAAGGGATGCAACAGTCACTAGGGCAAGCAGAAAAAAAGAAGAAAGGAAGCCACCAGGGAAAGGATTTGAACAAATGGGGTCAGAGTAAAGTTATACCACTGTCTCACTGCGAGTACTGTGCTGGAGGACACGCTGCTACCACTTGGATGAGATGCAAGAATAACGTTTTGGTTATACAATGCATCTTTTTCAGGGGCCTGGCCAAATTCTACCGCAGGTAATTATGTTTTGCTTACTTAAAATTTCCCCAGGAATTTCAACTGAAGAATTTCCTGATTTAGAAACTATTTAGTACTGAGGACACAAAATGGCATCCCAAGAGGTGACTACACGAAAATTAAGATATACATTTATTTGTTCAGGAAAAATACAAAGCTACTTATATACACACAGCATGGTCTGATCTGGATAGGTGGAAATGAACAGTCCATTATGGGGCAAGAAGTCTAGAGTACATTGATAGAGGACTTCAGTATTCACAAGTTCACCCAACTTCGACAGGTTCAATATCCTGTCATTTTGTAATAGTTTCCGGAAGAGACAAGCTTATCATGGCTCACCTGGTAGAGTTGCTGCCTAAGAATAAAGAGTTCCTGGCTCATGTGCTTACTTTGTTAATATGCATGGGGAAGACAGACAAAAAGAGAGAGCCCTTTCACGTTCAGTCACCAATGGACATGTCTGCTCTAGTGTCTGGCTAACAACTGGCAGACACAGTAGCATATGATTCAGAATTGTAACTAATCTCCTGATTATTCAGCCAATGTCTCATTTAAAATGCTAAAAGTGGATCATTATCCAAAGTAAGCAGCCTGCTGCCATTAAATATTTCCTTATGCAAACTAAAGAATTCGTACTACAGAAGGAATTCAAAAGGGCGTCATAATAATCAATTTAAAAGTCAGCAAATTTTTATTTAAAAAAGCACAAGGCTAGCTGCTGTTTATGATCAATATTCGACATGTTTGGGCCTCTCCTGCATTTCTGGGCTTGTTCCAGGAAATAAACTATTTGAGACCTTTCAGTCTCTATTCTAGTCCAAAGTATTGCATTACATGAGCAAACAAATGAAACACAGCAATTAAAGTGGGGAAGAGGTGTTTGTGATTCTTGGTATCCTGAAATGGAATTAAGTTAGCAGTGGCACTCATGTATCCAACATATTATCATCGCTGGATATTTACTTAGCAACATTGTGGGGCCTCAGATCCCTTAAATTTAATTTCTGTGGCTGTTTTAAAATATTGAATCAGTAGTGTACACACCAGTGTTGTTTGAAATGTGTCTAGTTAGCTGGATTGAATGATCAAAACAAGCTGGCACTTATTTTTATGATGAAGGGCAGTGATCTGTTCAGTTATATATGCAAATCCTATAACAAGATGGGCAAGTTATAAAGATACTGACCCCAGTACTCCTCTCACACAGGCAGAAGTCAGGAACAACACCACTGAAGCCAATGGAATTACACTGTGTGAAAACAATATAAGCAAAAGGAGAATCAGACCCACTCATATTCTATGCAAAAGGGACTCCAAAAATAAATATATTTTAGAGATGCCAAATTGGGACTATATTAATGATTTCAGGTTGTTACATGACAGCGTACTGAGACGGAACGCCACACTCCCAGTAATTTAAGCTTTTTTAAAAATTCTGGTAAACAAAATATTACCACTTGGTAAAGGCCATAAAACTTCTGCACATTAGAGAGGCATAATGTGATTCCAGACGAAAGCAAAATAAGCATGTGCTAGACAGATTTTTCCTTTTCAACATTCTGATAACCCACTGCTGCAGCAAAGACAGCACTTCTTGCCCTGCCACTGACTGAAGGAAGAGCCTAGAATATATTAAAGATAACAGTTTTGGTTATGCAAAAATGTCTGCATGATCCGTATTCTGATGGACCAATGAGATTACCAGGTCATGGAGACATCTACCATTCATTAGGTCCACAAACTGGAAAGTAGATACCTCAGATCAAAAGGATGTTCTAGAGTGAGACAATACATCTATAATGTTATAAGGAAGTGTTTTTAAAATGCAGAAAGAATGAAAGCTGGTCAAACTGCCCAGTTATGTTTGCTATTTTACTACAGTAATAATCAGATTCCTTATTTTGAATGTCAATCCACCATAAAAGTTGCTCCATGACTTTTGCATATTAGGTATCTAAATAACTGTAGCTGAACCAAATGCAATCTTCCACTCTTGCTTTCAATATATTCTTTTTAAAGTAACTAATCAGTATCCCTTTATCTGATAGTAATTGATGTTTTTCCATGGTGTAAGATGATACATACTGTTTGTGAAATGAAAGATTCTGGTACAAGCTGTATTCAGCTTTCAGATCCTTAACGTATGATAAAGGAAGATTGCTTACCAGCAACTCTTTGAGAGTGTCACCTCTGCATGTTTTTCTTGAGGCAAATAAGACATAATGGGCCAGACTCTGGTCTATTTCTCCACACTGAAGTCAATGGAGCTACTCCAGATTTACACCCACATAACTGATATCAGAATCTGGCCCATTATATTCAAAGCAGAAAAGCTGCTTAAAAGAATTATAAGAGAATTGCTTTTCTCCATGCAAACACAGACCTCTGGGGTGAAACTGATCACTGGGAATTCTTTGAAAAGGAGAAGTATGGCTGGGCAAATTAGTTTGGCATGATATAAGAACTGACCTTCAGAAGTAATTTAAGGGTAAGCATAATCCAATTACCCAAAATGGAATTTTGCCAGGACACTCAAATTAACACTAGAACTAGTCGGGAATTTGTTTGACAAAAAACATTGTCCTGTTGGAATGTGCTGATTTGTCAAAACCGAACCTTTCTGTGGAAATATATCAGTTTCGACAAAACTTTCATTGGGAAGGTTTCTCCTCAAGTCCAGGATGGAATCTGTGGTCAAAATGAGAAAGACCAATTCCCCAGACTATTCAATTGTCCAGTAGTTAGGGTACTCACATGGGATACCCAGGTCCAAATCCCTGCTCCAACTCAGGTTATTCGCTATTCCGGGATGGGTACGGTTCCTCTCTCTGAAAAAATCTGAAAGGTCTTGGTTTTGTTCCACATCAAAAGGAAACCAAATACTGAAACTGACATTTTTTTGTGAAAATGAAATTCCACTGTTGACCAGCTTTTGTTAATGCCCAGAATCTTCTGAAAAATTAAGTGGGCTCTCCAACAACCACATACAGTTCACATGTTGCTTTCGGGCCTGATGTAGACTTAAAAGTTTTCCTGGCACAGCTATGTCAGTTAGGAGTGTGACCAAAAAGGAAGGGAATCGCATCACTAACTGGCATAGCTGTGCCAGCAAATGCCCTAGTGCATACAAACAGTTATATTCCTTTTGTTGGCATAGTTTATTTTGCCTAGGGAACAAGTATAAGGTTCCTAACAGCATGTGGGGCATAGGTTTAGTACTGATTTAGTGAGAAAAACCAAGGCCCTATGTACACTGGGGCAATCTAAACCTGAACGATAAATGTCCATGGATTCTGCAACACTATAGTGGGACAAACTTGAAATTATGAGACAGCATCATCTACATTGAAATATTGAGGTTTTTAATTAATTAGATTGTAAACTCTTTCGGCAAGGGCCATCTTTATATTATGTCCATGCAGTGCCTAGCACAATGGTGTCCTGGTCCAGGAGTAGGGCTACGAATTCAGGGATGGCAGAAAGCTTCCTAACAGTGGGGGGGCCACCAGCACCTGAGGTGTGGCTCCACCCCCTGTGCCGCCCCTTCCCCCCAAGGCCCTGCCCCCTGCTTGCTCTTATCCCCCCTGCCCCCCTCGCTCACCCTTACGGCCGATAAAAAGTGGGAGGGCATAGCCTTTTAAAAGTGGGGGGAACATGGCCCCCTGCCCCCCATTCCAGTGCTCCTGTACTAAGTACAACCATAGTACAAATAAACAACAATACTACAATCAGTAGACAAGCCCATGTGTTCTTTATTTCATGTAATTAGGACTGGGATAAAAACATACGCTGAAAGTTTCTGCTAAAATTATCATCACTGAAATAGCTAAGAGGGTTGATATTTGAGGACTAGATTTTCAGAAAAGCTCACTACCCAAGAGCTCCCATTTAAGTACTGAAATATATTGGCCAGATTTTCAAGAGCTCGGTCCCATAAGGTGCTAGGCATTCTGACCCTGATCCAGCAATACATATAATAGTCCCATTAAAGTCTGTAATGCTACTCATATGTTTAAAATTACTCTCTTGCTCAAAGGCTTTGCTAGGTCAGGGCCAGGGTGTTCACCACATTATAGGACTGAGCCCAAAACAAGCTGTTGTGGGGATGAACTCTTGAAAATCTGCCCTAGCAACTGCTCAGGAGCCTCCAAGCTTGTCTAGATCAGGGAAAATTGCACGAGTGTGACAGGTAAATTCTACCAGCTCAAGCCCCTGTTGCACCAGTGCAGTGTGCTTACATTGGCAGTTTGCACTGCTGTAACTATATTAATGAAGTTACAACAGGGCCAGTTTCCTTAATCTAGACAATCCCTCCATGAAGTTTGCATACACACATTAATTATTACCATTCCCTCCCCTTGCTTCTTTGGCCTGAGCAGTTAGCCAATATTTGGGGCCTTGCCGGGTTCTTTCCACTATAAGACTAAATTAACTATACAAGTCAAGTATTTCTTTGGTGCTATCCCATTTACTTACAAAGAATGCACACAAAGTCCTGTTTCCCTGAACACAGTAGAAACAAACAGAAGTCCAAGTCTGCCTTTCCAGAGAGTACTGTGCTTAGAAGAAGCTCTTACTCTCAGCTTCTTCCTGGGACCACACTCACCACTGCTTCTCTTGCTTTCTACTTGCTTCCACCCCCCCAAGCCCCCCATCTGTCTCTCTCTTGCTGTCTTACACACACACCCTTTTTTCCTGTGTTTACAGTCAACCCCAAGAAAATCCCTCAGCCTTCATGGCTTGGTTTCTGATTGGCTTTATCATGCAACTCACCCAAAGTGCCTACATTTATTCATTCTGTTTGAAGGAAGAAAGAGCTAAACTGAAGAGAGTACAGAATAAGGAAGTTAGGAGGCTGTATGTAAGTGCCACACCACTCCATTTAAAGAGAAGCTGAGGGCAGATTGGATTCAATGAATTATTTGCATTGACCTATATAGTCCACTAATTTTTTCTGTTTGTGAGTTATCCGTGAACACAGTTTGATACACTGTCTGCTATTGGAAATTATTCCACGAATGGTCCCTGCAAATATACTTCGGCCCACAGGTTGCCTTAGAAATTAGTCATCAGCATGTTTCTTGGAGTACTCACTCTCTGTAATTTGCTGGGTTCGCTGTGTGCTTTGCCACCTACATTACATGGTGATGTTTTAGTTCCCTGATTTCCAGGTGAAGAGTTCTGGGTGAAATCCTGACCCTATTGAAGTCAATGGGAGTTTCTCCATGCCTGCAATAAAGTCAGGATTTGACCCTGGTGCACATTCACATGCAAATACAGAATCACATAAGTACTGGCATCACTTTCTCTTTCCCGAAACATTTTTACAAACCTTCATTCAGAGGAATGTTTGCAGAAACTGGAAAAAGGTGACTCATATACCAAGTAAACAAATATATGGTTCTTTTTCAAACAACTGTCACAGTTACCATGCTGAAGATCGGTAAAGGGTACCTGCCAAGGGGGAAAAAATCGGATTGTGCCCTTTATTGCTTATAATATATGCTTAATAAAGATGACCTAAAAATATTTTTGTAAAATAAAACTAAAAAATGTTTTCTTATTTATTTTTGACATGAGAAATTCAAGTCTTGTCAATCCTAAAAAGCCACTATAGTAGGGTGTCAAACTAATTTGATGCTAAGGACTGAATTCAATGTTAATTTAGGTTTTTGTAGGCCGAGGAAAAAAATTAGGACTCAATACTCCCCTCAATCCACAGCAATCGCCTGCTGATATCATTGGGAGATTTCCAGACAGATCAAGGGGAGAATAATATAGCAATTAAACTTTTAGGTATTATTTACTCAGTACCTTTTTGTCAGATTCAGCAGCACTCTGAGAAAAATATGTTCCCCTTTATCGCCACCACTGCTTCTGCTGTTTACTTCTTTTCCTTCATAGTTTTGCAGAGTTTAAGGCCAGAAAGGACCATTAGAGCCTCTTGTCTGACCTCCTGTAGATCACAGGCTATTCATTTCCACCCAATTCCCCTACACTGAGCCCCACAACTTCAGTTAAATCAAAGCATTTTAGTCCTCCCTGCCTCCTATTTCCATTTCCCTGCCTCTTTCTTGTCTGTTTCCTGGGTTCTTTCCTCTTCACTTCCTTCCCTGCAGCAACTCCCACCTCCCTGTGGGCTTCACTCGCACCTGCTCCTCGATTCTAGCCATTAAAATGATCAGCATTCAACTAGCTAGTTGATAGTGAAATATCATTGGATCTTAGAGTGGACACTACAAGGAAATCAACAGGGGAGTTGATTTGCCTGAGTCATTGTCTCAGGCTCTCTGAAGACTCAGGCAAACATTAGATTAGAACATCAGTTTTATGAACGCCAATCTTACCAACAAAAAAAAAAACCATTTATACAAACCATTTCCCCCCACACACATACAAAAATATCCACAAGACTAATGTAGACGAAGAACAAGTTAACATCCCTTCATGTTCTGATGCCTTCAGTGCACCAGCAATGGCTTTGTAGTGGTTTGAAAGACAAGAGGAAAGTGATGCAGTGCACCATACTGCAACTTATGCACTGGGCCTACTGTCATTTTGAGATGTTCAGTTTTATGAACTCCTCAATCCCCAATTAGTTAATGCTATAGGGGTTCTACTGCACTCAGTTCACATTTGGAAGCTTTTTTCTTCAGCACAACAAGAACTAGCAATGTACCTTTTAAAAAAATAAAGATGAAATTCTGAACAATCTGAATATGTCCTTCAGGTCACATACATACATCAAGCTGACCATAAGGTGAACAGCTCTGCTCTTTGGTGATGGAACACTTGGTGCAACTGTGGCATCAGGAGGGTAAAAACTGAGCAATTGAGCGGAGAAGGAATTTATAGGTATGCTATTTAAAACTCTTTGGGTCAAGGTTGTGCTACAGCCTCTTTGCACCAGCTTGGGGTGGTGGGCAGAGATTAACACTGGAACGGATAGCCACTGCAGATGTCCCAGAGCTAACTCTGCCAGCTCTGTGCCAGCTCTGCAGCAGCCATGGACTCAGGGAGTCATGGAAGGTGGGGCAGGCAGCCGGGGCACACTAAAGGAGGGAGGGGCATAGGAGGATGGGAGGAGGTGTAGCTGCAACAAACCTGCAACCCGGTGATTCTGTGACTCTGGCAAGCCCTACAGCGACATATTTTGGGGCCTCCCTCAAGGATTACATAATTAAATCTTGTTACCTAGTTGAAGTTTATTGACAGGTAAGAACTAGGGGGCATAAAAAGAAAGACCATTTATAAGAAGAACGTAAGGACGTGCTATTTTACCAAGTGGTAAACCAGTGAACTCAACTTCCAGTTGAAGTGGGGAAATCAAGTGTTATTAATATATTTAAGCAACAATTGGATAGCTACATGGGAGTAAGGGCTCATCTACCCTTACAGCGCTGCAGCGCAGCTCCACTGGTGAACTGCAGTCCTTGGTGAAGAAGCTCTCCCATTGGCGTAGGTACTGCACTTCCCCGAGAAGCGATAGCTACGTTGACTGGAGAAGACCTCCTGTCAACACAGTGCTCTCTACGCCCGGGCTTAGGTCAATACACCAGTGTAAGCGACATCGTTATACTGACGTATGTTTGTAGTGTAGACCAGTGCTTAGTAAGATCAAGGAGTATTAGTTTTGTGCTTGTAGGAACCCATCCACCTTTCAGGAAGTCCAAAGAAAATTTTTTGCTGGTCGTGGTTTTCTTCCCCCAGACTAGCTATATATTTTGCTTTCTGGTTTTACAGGCGAGCTTTCTAGTCCATCTCTCGCACAAATTGTTTTAGAAGTTTACATAATATAGGTGAAAGATTGTCAAACATTCCCAGACAAGAAAAGCACCTGGACTCTCCCTGGGTCTACAGTACATTAGGCCAAATGGTGCTGTCCTTATTAGAGATGTGTTCCATTGAAGCTAATGAGAAATTTGTTCAAGAAAGCACAGCAGAATATGGCCTTATGTAACTATAGCTCTAAACCTGCAATCAAATCCATACAAAGAAAAGGAGTACTTGTGGCACCTTAGAGACTAACAAATTTATTTGAGCATAAGCTTTCGTGAGCTACAGCTCACTTCATCAGTGACTCCTTATGTCTGCACAGACTTGAAGTAAAGGGGAGCTCTGGACAGGTGCAGGGGTCTGCATTCATGGATCCATTCCTAGCACTGAGGCCTTTGTAAGCATTAGCTAGTTTATTTCTCTGAAAATGCAGGATAGTACCCTACAGTGTATTTTCTAATGCTTCCTCCAGTCAACTTAGAAAGGCCTCAAATGATGGAACTTCCAGCTCTTCTCCTGGAAGATAATCCAGTGTGACAATGAAAATTATGATTTTCTCTAGCCTTGGGAAAGTAAACTTGTTGAATTACTCATATATAGACATATCTAGCACTTATTATGGATCGGGAAAGTAAACAGAACCAAAGGGGAAAAAAAGCTATTTTATTCTTAAAACTGGTTGTATTTTTGTTGTTTTCAGTTTTTTATACCATAAACTTTATGTATAATTTATTAATACTGGCTGAAATGTATCTTTGGCTATTTGGAGAGGGGAGAACGGGAGGTGATGTGATTAATTACAATTAATAGAATATTTGTTAAAAATAGAAAAGTTGTGGGTTTTTTTTAATGCTGAGGCCAGTATGTGATAGTTTACCCCACTGCAGCATGATTTCATTATTCCTACACTATCTCTAATAGACAAGTGTTTTGTCTAGTCTTCAATATTTCCAGGGATATTGGTTACAAAACTTTCGCTAGCAGCTTGTTCTATTGCCTAACTGCTCTGATTAGGGGTGGGTGAAGTCTGTGGAATTAGATGCTCTATGCTAGTGTCTCAACCAGTTTTGGGGAGGTTCACAAAACTAGTCTGAATTTGTGATCCAGTTTGTTTGTTTTTTTAACTTAAACCAATTGCACCTCTGTATTCTTCACCCAGTGGCTAGAAGCTTCTGCTATGTGTTAGGGATAGAAGAACCCCCCAAAAGCCAGACTGCTGTAACTTGGTGCCCATTATATAGTATACATGCTATATTTTTGCTGTGAAAATTCTCCCCCTCTTCCTCAGCCTCTGTGTTTTTAATCTGCCACTCTGCTTCTCTTTTGTTCCCAGAGCCTCTCCAATACAAAATGCAAACAAAGACTGAACCTTCAGATCTACAATGTGTTCAGAAATTAGGCATGACAAGTTTGCCTATCCTTACTTCTCAACAATGGAGTTAAAGGCTTGCTGATTCAGGCCTTGAATAACTTTTTTCCTTATGAAGCTTAAGACCAACTTCCCTTGTTCTACCCTAGCTGAACAATAAAAATAATTGATCACTGTAATTCATATATATTCCTTTGCATATCTGAAGAATTTAGCATCCAGTGACTGTACACATAAAATTCTATTTGGAGCCTCATATTAGTTCAAAATATATAATTTTTGTGAGATATGTTTCACATTACATTTGGAATAAACATTCGTCATACTAGAAAAGGATAGTGCTATCAATTATGTATTTTGTACTGAGAACAGTTAGCCAATTAAACAGCAAGATGCATCAGAGGGTGTGGTTTAAGCAAATACCACTTTTGGGGCAGCATGAGGCAAAAGAAACCATTGCCCCCTAGAAACTCCCTGGCTGCTGTTATGAAATTTATTTCAGTTTTACCCATAAGTTATTTCAGTCATTTACTTTGATTGCTGGAAATTGTCAATTAGCGTTATAATGTTTTAACGCCAAGGTTCACAAAGAAGAACTTTACCACTTTGGAATATTAAACAACCTGATCCAGGCTCAGCTGCTTTCTGTAACTTATAGAATATGACAGTGGATAAATGTTTTAGAATGTTTTGTTGGCAAGCGTCAGTCAGCATTGTTAACAAGGCGCAGTGGGTAAAGTTCCACACAAAGAATATTTCTGTTCCTATGAGCCAACATTATTTCTCCTTAAAAATATATGGAAATACCTTCAAATACCTGACTACACAGTCTCCAAAGAAGGCTTTTTACCTTTGCAATTAACACCACCCTTCGCTAGTTGTTAGAGAAATCTTTCTTCTTCTACATTTTCTAATGGCACAAGCTGTCAATGTGCAATTTAATGCTCTGATCAGCTCTGGTCACAAATCGTGTTTTAACAAGAACGATTCAAGGACATTTCTCACAAATTAATACAAAATATATCCTAAATGCTTAAATCTGCTTCAAGGTTTAATGTCAAACACTTGGAGATGTAATTATTCAATCTACAACAACAAAAAATTACCTTTGAATTAATTCCATGCTCCAGTGCAGTGAAAGTCAAACAAACAAGTTACAGTTCAAGGCATTGTTTTTTGAGTGTTTTGGTTTTTTTCCCCCATCTGATTGAATGCTTAACCAAGGCGCTCACTTTCTCAGTTCAAATGTAGCACAGAGTTCACCTAATGACAACTCACGTTAATATTTAACTTGGACTGGTAGAATGGAGAATTCCCTGCACGTTGGAGGAATCAATGCACAGTGACTGGAAGAGCTAGCCCTGACAATACATTCACTTAGAGTAAGGCCAGAATTTTCCAGCGTATCGGTCTTTCTATTAAAATGAAGGCTGCTGGTTTTCCAGTTTAAACTAAACATTGCCCTGACAGTCAGTTAGAAGTCAAGCCTGGCTAATAAATGCTTATTCTTGGCACAATTTTTATCACACACTCCAAGCATGTGTGTCTACACTGTGATCTGAGATGGAGTGGTTTGTTTAGACACATCTGTGCTAGCATGGCTAAAAATAGCAGTGTAGATGCAGAGGTGGCACAGGCTTCAGCAACACAATGAGGCGCGCTGGGTCTCTAGCGTGCTTGTACAGCCTCTGCCGAGGTACAAAAGTGGGAGGACCAGGGGCCACGGCCCCCGAGGCCCCGCCCTCAGCCAAGCCGGAAGCCGGAGTGGGGTTGGGGGCCAAAAGCAGCCCCCTACCCACCCACCCAGGGCAGGTGGAGGGATCCAGGCTCCCCACAGCTGACAGTGCAGTTCTCCCCAGTCTGGCTCTGACTGGGGGTGGGGCCCTTGGAGCAACAGCCCGGCCATGATAAGAGCCATGCAGGCAACTGTAGGGAGCCACGGTGGACCCTCCACCTGCCTTCGGCGGGGGCCAAGCAGCCCCCGGCCCATGTCTCTGCCCCCTGGATCTCTCTCCCAGGGCAGGAGGAGGGTTTGTGCCACAGTTCCTCACAGCTGCCCATGCAGCTCTTACCTTGGCCGGGCTGTGGCTCTGAGGTGCCCCTCCCTCTCCAGCCGGAGCCTGGTTGGGGAGAGCCGCACAGGCAGGTATGGAGAGCCAGCACAGAGTCATGGACCCTCCACCTGCCCTCAGCAGGGCGGGGAGCCCAGGGGGTGGGGAGATGAGCTGGGGGCTGCTCTCAGCCCTCCTGCACCCCGGGTAGGTGGAGGGTTCACCGCAGCTCCCTACAGGCTGGGCTGCATGCTGGCCTGGACGGGGGTGGGGCCTCAGGGAGAAGAGAAGGGGAAGGAGTGGGTCCACCCTAGTGAAAAGTGATGGGCCAGGCCCCCCACACTTTCAAAAAATGGGAGGGCCCTAGCCACTTCCCTCCCCCTGGTTCTGTCACCCTGGCCTGTGCTGCCACATCTACACTGCTATTTTTAGCTTTGCTAGCACAGGTATATCTATCTGAGGTGCAGTTATACTTCAGACTGAAGTGTAGACATACCCTAGGTCTACATCCCCAGTAAGTAGCTTCCATCTGCTGCACATCCATGTAATGCTGTGGGTTGATTTGATGGACTGAGGCCAAGCTTTCCCATTTCTGAAGCCCTGACTGAGATTGCCTGATGCTGTGCCCCCCTTCTTCCAATCACCATTTCCAAAATCCTAAATTTCATTATAACTTGGTACCTAGGTCAGGTATAAATGCAAAGAAGCCATTGCAATCAGGTGCTGAAACAGTTAAGCAGCCTCCACACCAAACACGGGCCCATATCTCCTGCCAAAAGGTAGGCACATCCAAAGCCACTCAGGAGTTTGAACTATGCAGGCAAGAGCTTGGCTGGGTATTGCGTGGGTGTGTGAGTGAATCAGGACATCAAGAGAGAAGCATTGAGAAAACCAAACTGACAGGGACAGAAGCACTGGTAATGTGGCCCTGAAAGAAAGAGAGAAAGCTTTTCAGCACAGAGTGCACACTGGAAGAGCAGGCTTGTAACCGTGAGCTTTCTCCTGCTGTTTCATTCCCACTGTGTTCAGGGAACCAGGACTTTATGTATAATCGTTGTAAATAAACAAGACTCTATCAAAGGAAATACTTATCATCCGTTTCTATCTCCTAACTGGAACAATCAACAATATCCCCAGTCTAACTAACTGCCCAGCTCAAACAGGATAAACACTTTCCTCCCTCTTCCTCCTTGTTTCAGTTAAGTGAAAGCCTACTTCTGCTCCCACTGAAGTCATTAGAATATTTGTTATTCATTACGGGGAACAGGGTTAAACCCCAAATCACCAAACTTCAGAATACTCAAATTATAAACAAACATTCTGGTAGCTAAAGAAATTCAGCCAGGTTTTCGTCTCTTTTGGCCAACTGTAAATTACAGAGAAATCTCCAAATGAAAGCAAAGACCGACGATGAAAACCTGATCAATTGCTATCAATTAAGTTTAGATGAAAAGTCGCTCCCTTTTCAGCTCTGCCTGGTGCCCAGAAGAGAGGAGGTTAACAAATAAATCAGAAAACAAATCTAAACAAAAAACCTCCCAAATTTTACAGTTCTAGTAAGTATCCACAATTAATCCTACCATGTAATTCAGGCTTCCAGCAGTGGGTAAATAGAATTTCCAGAAGGGCTGGGCTAGAAAAGGAGTCGTCTCCACTGTTGAACCTTAATAGGAACCTTAATACAGTTTGTCTGCAATTAAAAGTGGATTTCATGTTAGTCTGACTATTTGCTGAATTTCTGGCCCCGTCTACAATGGATCTTGGAACCATGCTTGAAACCTGTTTGGAATTTGGTTACAGGCAAACATGTTTTATATACCATGTCCACACTATTCCTAATCAAACTTTATAACCATGCTATAATGCATTGTTCTAGCTCTATTTAAGACTTAAGCTATAAAGTAGCCGTGGCACAATCAATTTATTCCAAAGCCCTCTCTCTACTCTAAAAAAGTTCAAAATCCCCCCCTTCCCCCCATTGCTATCATCAGTTCAGCTCTACTAGTATTAGCCACATGATAGTAGATGGACCACCAATATTTTTAACACTGTTGTGTAGCCTTGCTCCTCTTGAACCACATTCTGAGGCCCTTAGTCAGGTTGGGTACAGCTTACTCCACAAGTAGTGCCATAAGACAGTAGTCAGTTACTAGCCGGACTGATAGCTCCATCTGTTAAGGTTGCCCAGCACTTCCCATTATAAAGACCCTCCTTTCAGCTGCTTATAACTTTGCCAGACTAACTGTCCAGGCTGAAATTTTCCATGCTGGGTGTTTGCTTCCTCTTAAATTATTTTTGAAAATTTCAGCCAAAATAGTTCAGCCATTTCTGAGAAGGCGGCTAAGGGAAAATACACTGTTTCTCTGTGTTAAAAAAAATAATTCCTGGTGGCCTTTTCTTTGGAAAGATCTAGTGCCCCATATTTTGGAGCAAGGAGTTCAAATTTGGAAGAAGGGTGGCCTCTGTGTCAAGGATGCTTGAACAGTTGCATTTTAATTTGCCCATGCCCAGTAGAGTCTTGTTAGCACTTAAAAGAGCAACTAAGCATGTTTCATCCCCTACAGCTCCTAGTTTTAATGGGTTGCAGTTTCGCTGTCCCTTCACAGCTACTGGACTGCACATGGGTTGCAGTTGCCCTGTCTCTTTACAGCTCCTGGACTGCACAGAGCAACAGAGCATGCTCCCTCCAGCTCAGGGCTACAGGGGCAAAGGTGGACTTTCCCTGTAATGGCTGCTCCAGGCAAGGGTGGGGCTGGGCACAAGAACTGAGCGGGGAGCCTGTCTTTCCTGTGCTCTCAGTGTCCTTGCCCCTGCTGGGATTCAGGCAGTGTGGAGGAGGTAGCCATCCGAATCAAATGCAGAGAGGTGTGGTGTTTAGCTGCCACTTGTAATTATTAGAACTGGGAGCACTGGCTGTTGGGAGTCAGAAAGGACAGGAAACAGGAAGGGGGGCAGGGGAAGCTGAGGAGGCTGAGTGAGAGCTACCAAGCGTGCAGCAGCAGCAGCTTGGTAAAGAGGTTTCCACTTTAAAAATAAAGTCCTGTTGAAGTTTGTTAGTACCTTGCCTGGTTGCTACAACAAGAGGACAAGAGAGGAGCCTGGGGCAGAGACTGGGACTGGAGGCTGACTGGGGTGGAGACTGGGAAAGGAGACTAGGTCTGAAAGCCAGGAAAAGGAACAGATTGAGACAGGGAGACAGTGGTGGGACTGAGATCTGAGGAGGAGCCAGGGGGGAGACTGTGACTGGCAAGGCAAGGAGACTGGGACTGGAAGTCAGTGGAGTAGTGGGAAGGAGGTGGGGTGTGGGGAGGGAATTGGGACTGTCTGGGCAAAGGGAGTGGGACAAGGAGCCAGAGGAGGCAAAGACACTAAGACTGAATGAGGAGTCTGGTGAAGACTGGGCCTGGGAGCCAGTGGGGTAAGGAAATGTGTGTGTGTGGGGGGGTGCAACTGGAAGACAGGAAGAAGGAAGAGACACAGATTGGGAAGTGGGTGAGGGAAGTAGGACTGGTTGGGCACAGAGACTCAGGACAAGGAGCTGGGCATTGAGGAGAGCCTGGGAATGGTTTGGCAAGGAGAATGGGAGCAGGAATGGGGGGTGGTCACTGAAGAAGTGAGATTAGGATTTACTGGACTAGGAATCTGGGACCAGGATCTGAAGCCAGAGCAGTGGAGACTGGAACAAGGAGCCAATGGTGGGGTAGAAATAGAACTGAGACAGAGACACGAGAGGGGACAGGGCAAAATAGGTCAAGCTTGGGGAAAATAAGTGATTGTGTCCACTGGAGCACACTCCTCTCAGGAGCCCAGAATGGAACACAAGATTCATGAGTCTCACCGTTCCTTTGCTATCAGCAAATATTTGTGAAACCCACTGCCAAAGGTCCCATCCCCCTCTAGTGCTGATCCTATAGAGGATAACAATCAAGGACTGCTATTAGTTATTCCATCAGTTAAAGTGGCAGAGATCTGAGCGGTAGATTTAAAGGTTCCAGCCCTGCTGATGAACCAGGCAGAAATCAATATGATGCTAAATTTCAGTTTTGTTTTGTTTTAAAACTAGGAAATTGAACACACACAAAACTACATTAAAACAAGCATTAAGGTTGCAAAGTCGAACACTCAAAAATTAGGAAATATCAGATTTAAGATTTCTT